GGCTTCTGAGTATTGCGGAACAGAATATTTATATGGACGATCCTTTACTCTCAGAACAGACCACCAGGCTCTCACTACCCTCATGTCCTCTGTTGGAACGGGCCACAAGCCCCTCAGGCTTCACCGATGGGCTGACAGGTTGAATCAGTACAACTACCAGCTGCTGTTCACTCCTGGAAAAGACAACGTGTTGCAGATTTCCTGTCCTGTTCAGCTGCGGAGCCGACTAGCACAGCCAAGCAGACGGAGTCAGATATAGAGAATGAGCTTGTGCAGTTCGTTTATGAGCCCTTACAGGCCGCAGTGTCTCTTGAAGAACTTAAGCAAGAGTCTGCAGCAGACCCACTCTTCGTTACCCTGAGCACCTACATTCAGAACGGCTGGCCAGCTCGGGTAAGCGCTGACCTGACACCTCTCTCCCGAATCAGGGCAGAACTGACATGTTGGGGTGAGTCATGCATTGCACAGGGGCACCGAGCGGTCATTCCTCTGTCCCTTAGGGGGCGGATGCTGTCAATGGCACATGAGGGTCATGTGGGGGTAGTTAGACTGAAGCAGAGGTGCCGAGATTTGGTTTGGTGGCCAGGGATTGACAGAGAGCTAGAAACTCTTGTACATGAGTGTGCTCCTTATCTGCTTAGTGGTAAAACGGGTGCTCCAGCAACGCCACCTTTGCAACCTGTTGACTGGCCCACCAAGTCATGGGAGCATCTACAGGTGGACATTTGTGGGGAGCTCGCCTCTGTTCCTCACCATCAGCGGTTTCTAGTTGTGGTGTATGACCTCAAAGTGGCCCGAGGTTGTGCCTATGGGCTCAGTTACAGCCTCCGCAATGGTTGATTTCCTGGAGCAACTCTTTTCCCGATGGGGAATCCCGCGGGCCATTACCACTGACAATGGGCCGCAGTTCGTTTCCAGTGAGTTTTTATCGTACCTGGCTGCCAGGGGCATAGCCCATATACACACCGCCTTCTGCACACTTCCAGGACTTTGAAGCTTCATTTCATACTTAAGCTTGGTGGGAGGGGGGGAAATGTTGTGGTTGCTAACCAGTTCTTCATTGTTATTATCTGTTGTAGTAATACTGTTGTGAAGTCATGTTGATGTGCATGCTTCACAGTTGTACCGTATTCTGTTCTGTTGCCGCTGCAGTTCCTTGAGTAAACTAGCATTCACCCGAAGCTTTGTTTTCATGTGTTTTTGTTGAACATAACACCCCCCCCAAACAATTTGAAAAACTCAGCGGATCAACACGAATTACACAAATGACCCATTTTGAATTCAAAACGGCGAATTTCACCGCATCCCTGATTCAAATGTTTGCAAGTTTGCATCCCTGATAAAAATGGCAAAAGTACATAAAATGACAAACTAAAATTAATAAACTAAAAATACAAAAATTTATTTTATTAATTAAAAATATTAATAAGTGATATACTGCATAAATATTATATCTACACACACATATAATTCAATCAATAATATATAATTCATTATATATATAATTAAAATGAAATTTTAAAATATTGAGAATAAGAAAAAAAAATAAAACTACAAATACTAAATAAAATAAACACTATAATATACAAATATTAAAATAAAACTGTTGTAGCGTCTGGACCACTCAAACACACAATATATATTTTGTTAGCTAGATTTAACAAATTTCCCATGAGCTGATTCGTTACACTGTGTATAGTATAGTAAAGAGCTCAGACAATTTTATCTATGAAGAATTTGATGAGAAGTGTTGGCCCTGTCTAGAAGAAACATCTGATATATTAATGAGCTCTCATTTGTGTTTTGCAGCAGTATAAAAGGGCTCTCCCAACTCTATTAAAGCTTCTTTAAAATTCTCTGCATTAATGAAGGTAAAACGTAGGTGTCCTCACCAGTGGTTTCAAAAGGCTTTTCACTCTTTCTTTTCAAGTCCTCTCTCTCCCAAGAAACCTAGAAAACAAAGAATTACACAATTATTCACCGCGTTTGCTGTCAATCACAAACATTCTCTGTTGAACACACGCTGAAAACAACAAAACAGACCAAACGCTGTTGTATTAAAAGTCTTTTATTCTGTTCTGCTCGCAGCACAGCATAGTATATTCTCCCATGGTCGAGCGGCTCAGCGAGTGGCCCCCCTGTGAGGCTCCCCTACTGAGAGGAGTATGGCACAAGAACCTAACACAGTGGTACCGGGGGGGCACTACCGTCCTGGCACAGAGTGGCATAAAACATAACTGGCTCTGCTCAGCTACATTATCATAAAGTATTACAGAGCAGCATCGCATGTGTTCGAATGTGTTTTCAGCATAACACACTGCAGCTTGGCACAGACAGAGCGCACACACATACCGTTTCCAAAAAAGCCAGGCCTGTGAGACACACGTGAAGACTGTAAAGATTTTGACGTAGCGAGGTCAAATCCATTTGCTAAGACCTGCTACGCTCATAGTGATCCTAGTGTGGAGCTTACAGCTGTGCATCACCACGTCCCAAAACTTTCACCACAGTGACACATACACACCTCAATCACAGCGTTGGTTATTTGAAACATAAATTCATTGTGGTCGATGGTTGGCCATGTTATTCATAAAAACACAGTTGAAAACTGGTCTCTGATGTCAGCTGTTATGAGACGAGAGAGGACAAAGAGACAAAAGAAGACCAATTCAAAGATAATAAATTTAGTAGATAAACATTATATGCAAGTTATTTGTTGAAATATATAATTTATATCTATATGTATATATTTATATACTGCTGCTTTGATAAGAGACTTATTCTTAGAGTAATAAACAAACAAACAAACAAAACATTCACTGTCAAAGACACTATCAACACAAGAAGACACATGTCTAGAGAAAGGCCATTTTAAGATTCTTGGTGGCGGCGGTTCCTAATAAAACTTGTGCAATATGCCTGATATTTTATCATTTGAAAATGAAAAGAAAAACGACATTATCTTAAGGTCCTTGCTGTTTCAGCCCAAATGTTTTATCAAAGCGGTCTACTGCCTTTAATGTGCACAATGGAATGGAAGGAGAAATCTAAATAATTTTTCGCAGCTAATACATGAAACATCTTAATTATCAAGTCTGCTGACAGAAATGTTTGAAAACAATATTTTTGTCTTCAGCTATACTACTTTGCTGAACAGCTATTTCTCTATTGCTATCTAAAGGTCACAGACACATATATGAGGTACATCTATATATAAAGTAATCCAGACACGTATTACACGACATAGTTGGAGTCAAAAGGATATACATACATAAGCTGCCTTAATATTCTAAATGTTAATGTCAACACTACTCAGAATTACTCCAAAATCTGTGACAGTGAGGCAGAGTGTTATGACTGTGGTCAGAATTGACAAGATTTGTGTTACTGCCCTCCCGATTTCACCAAATAGAAGTCATCAGTGTTTAAAAAAATAAAAATCATTATCACCCATTATGTTTCTATAGTACTCCAAAGTCTCTTGACATTACTGTTTAGCCCATTGACAACAAAATATACCCCAATTAATTAGTAATACTTGTAAAAAGCTCAACATACAACAAATAAGCTTAACATGGCTCAGATGCAGTTACAAGCACACACAAAAAAAACAATTAGCCTGTTGGGACTGTGCGTGGTTCTGCGTCAAATATGTACTTAAATAAATTCATACATATATAAATAACAGCATACAATGTTTCAAACCAAATTGAAAATAGTCAAACTTTGCTGCTGGCTTGACAAAGCCCTGCATGAAAGTTTGAAAAGCCTTGAGCTTGAATACGTAAAGATTTATACATAAACATATTCAGGATTTATTTATTTATATTTGGTCTTTTTCTTTTTTTTGAATATTCTGTGGGAAAATCACAAACCTGATTAATCAGAAAAATATAAAACATACCCAAGTCAAAACAGCATACCGAGTCTGGTGGATATAGCTTGAACATCCTCTGATTAAACACAAAGGTGTTGGAATTTTGAAAAACCCAAAATAAATTTTTTGCAATTACAATATGCTGGCTTTGTCAAGGCAACATCATAACAAAATTCATTAATCTGAAACAAAAAAACTCAGAACTCATACGCATACTTTGCAGACAAACATTTTAAATACTGTCTAAACAAAATATTGTATAAATAAAATTAAACATAGTTGACTCAGACCTGCTGCCAACACGCATTGCCCTTAGCGATATTCACAGTCAATTATAGCGATCACTTCAAAGATGCTAGCTTTTGGCTAATGGTAAAAGCTAAATTAAACAAAGATCTACCTGACTGGCTTGCTAATCAATCTTTTCCTACTTAACAGATATGTCTAGTAAAAGCATAAAACTGCAACTATTTTGCTATTATTTGACCAGTTTATTCTTGCTGCTACTTGTACAGCTTAAGCAAACTTGCTAAGCAAGTATGAATATCGTGTCCAAAACTTATAAATGGCAGAGCAGAGTAGCTTGTAAAAAAAAGGTGTAAAAACACAGTGTTAAACTGTAAACAGTGCTCTCCTTTGCCTTATCGCTCTCTGAATGATGCCATGTCTTTCATCACTCACTGACATTTAGTTTAGTGAGTATAGTGCTGCAGTATGGCTAGCCCTGTCATCCTGGCACTCTCAACATCAGCATTCATAGCTACCCTAACTGGCTCTGACGAGAAGGTCTCCCCCGAGAAAGCTACGATCTTAAAAGTGTCTTGGTTGCACACTGTGTTGTCATGGCAACATGTACATTCAGTCGAGAGGGGAAGGGCTGCCACTGATTATAGGTAGTTGAAACATTGCATGTGCCCTACAGCACAGTGCTTATATTCTTTTAATAACTCAACACAACTGTTTTGAACCAGATCACAAAACATATATATTATATATAATAAAATAACTTGTAAATATAAAATATATGTATTGTATGTTGTATGTAGTTAATTATGTATTGCTCAAGGGACAAGAATGAAACATGAGGACCTGTGAAATGGTTTCACCGTACATGGTACATCAGCTCCACTTCAGTTTGGCATTCAGCTTCAGTAAGCCAATATGTGATCAGTCATGGCTAACTTACCCTGTTGCTAGGAATACAAACACTGACAACAACTCACAGAATGCTAGATGTCAGTTTGCGGAAGGTGGAGGTCAAGAAAAATGCTCTGAGAATAGAAAAATGGTTTGCTACTTTCCTTTGTGAAAGCTTCCCTTGAGAGATTTTGAACGAATATACACAACAATTACATCATGATTCAGAGCTCTGAGAGCAAGAGGAAAAAAAAAAAGATGGGCGTGGGATATTAGGGCTTTGTATTTTGACCTCAGAATCTCCCTTCAAAAAATCGTTCCAGAGCCATCGAGCAGCAAAACACTCCAAGAAAAATCACATTTACCCACATTATTGACGCTCCACCTTAAAGCCCCCAAGAAGTAAGAAAAGCAAAGCCAATCCCATACAAACAGCCTCGCTAACATCAAAAAGATTTGTCAGCATGGCAGTATTCCATTCTTATACAAGTAAAGAGAAAGGGCTACAATTTATGTGACATCCCAATCCAGGTTTGTCTGTGAGCATTAGAGCTTTGTGCAAGAGATGGGTGCCAGCGAAAACAACCCAACTCGACTGCTATGAACAGTTAACAGTTTGTAGCATGAACAGGTGGGGGTTACTTGCTGATGTTCCTCATTTAATTATGTTCCTCAGACCTCACTCTCCACACTGGAGAAGTGGGCAGAGCCTCGACGAGAGCACAGGCTCTTGGTTTTGAGGGGAAGATGTGGGGATTGATACATTTGGGGTTGGGGAAACGATCGCAGTTTCTGGTACTGGAGCTTAGCACTAAAGGAGGACAAAGACGAGGGCTGTGGGGCACCAGGTGTAGATGAGACAACCGATGGGGAGGACACTGATGAGGAGGAGGTAGGTGGAGGTACATGTATATGGTGAGAGGAAGAGGGTGGGGCTGGGAGTGCAGGGACCATTGGAGGGGGTAAAGATGGCGGTAGACTCTGAGGAGGGGACGGCAGTTGTCGGGACCGGTCTGAGCGTTGTGGTCTTTGTGCACTGAGGTTGGATTGGCTTCCAGATTTTGCCTGGCTCTGAGCCCGATCTGGTTTGGATGATTGCCGTTTGGGTCTTACACTGCTGCTGAAACTGTGGCAGTGAGGGAATAGCTCCTCCTGACTCCTAGAAGTCACCCGATTCCATTTGGAGTGAGTGCTGGCAAAGTGATGGGGTGACTGGCAGGAACAGGATGTGTGGACTCGACTCTTCTCTTGAGACCTGCTTTTAGATTTATTTTCGGTCTTCACTGGTAATTTATCAACAGACCAGTATCTTCGAGGAGGTGGGGGAGTCAATGGAGTTGGAGGCCACTGATTTGATTGTAATCTTTCTGATCCCCACCCTGGTCCTGTTCTGAAACCCAAGCTACTTTCTCCACCACCCCACCCCAAAAAAGAGTCATCTCTACTGTTTATGCTGCCTCCTCTTTCTCTGGCAGGGTAGGTGCCAAAGAACCATCCTCCTCCTCCAATGCCTCCAACTGCCCTTCCTTCGTGACCCTCCCAATATCTCTCAAACTTACCAAACTCTCCAGAGGAACCTTCATCATCTGTGTATATCTCAACGTTTTTTTCTCTGTCCCTTTCGGATTCAGAGTCCATTCCTCTGCTTTCTCGTCGTCGCCCCTGTTCTTCTGGCCTACTTCTTTCCACTTCAGACTCCTCATCTTCTTCTTCCTCGGAATCCCATTCGTGAAATGACAGGCCTTCTCTCGAGCAAGGCTTAACTCTCTTGTTTTTTCCCAAAAGGGGCCGACTCTCTCCACCTCTTCCTCGCTCATCTCTCTCAGCTCCTACAGACTTTCGTCTTTTAGATATGGGAAGCAAGGGTACAAAAGACGATGGTGAATCAGAAGTTGGGTTCCCACTACTCCAAAATTTGACGGTTGAAGAAGGTTTGTTTGAGCAAGAAAAATGCTTGTTGTTGGACCTTGGCCTGGAGTGGCGTTGTGATTTTGGGCTTCTCTGATGTCTTTCCTTTCCTCTACTGCCTTCTTCATCTTCTCCACCTTGATCATCCCTATCTCTCTTTACTCCATCTCTGATAGTATCCCACTCATAACTCCTTGTAGAGCTTTCACTCTTTTTTCGGAAAGAGCTTCGCCTCAGTGCAGGATAAGAAGAGTATTCCTGTCCTATTCCTTTTTCAAAGACATCTTTCCTGTCCATATCTACATCCTCTTGTTCAGTTTGTTTTCCCCTCTCCCTTCTTCTTGATTGTTCCTCTTTTTTCTTTTTCTTTTTCACCTTACGCCTTTTACTCTCCCTTTCTTTTTCACGCTCTTCTCTCTTCTTTTTCTTTCTACCCTTCTTCCTCCTCTTTCTCTCTCTTTCCCTTTCTTTATGATGTTGTTTCTCCTCCTTAACATCTCTATCTCCAGTTGCTCTTCTACCCTTTTCTTTCTCTCCCCAAGAGGTCCACCACTCTTGAAGCTGTGCAATCTGGCTGCCTGCTCTGTCTCTCACCTGCACCCTCTGTCCGCAAGGTTTGCGGGGTGGTATAGGTGGTGGTGGAGGACTGCTAGGCAGGGATCGAGAGGACATACATGAATGACTTTTTCTCCTCCCCAAAAGCAAGCTTGACTCCTCCGTAAGCTCATCTGTGTCATAGTCCTCATACACATCTCGTACATCTGCCCGGTATCTGAAGCTCTGTGATGATGTGTACGATGATGAAGAAGAGGGAGAATTGGATCGGGAGACTGATTCTGAAGAAGAGGATGAACTGGAGGTGCTGGAGCTGCTGGAGGAATTGGATGTGTAGCATACATATGGAGAAGGTGAGGGCAGAGTCTGTGTTGGGGAAGAGAGGGGCACAGGTATAGGCAGAGGAAGAGGAGGAGGACGACGTCCTCTTCTCCCACCACCATCCCTCATTCCATATCTGCCACCACCTCTCCTTCCGAGTGGAAGGATGTTTTCGTAGAGTGGCCCCCCTGAACCCTTCCTTTTTGAGAAGCTGCTTCTCCTCCAGATAGATTGCAGCGGTGGAGAGGGATGTGGCAAAGCAGGGTTAATTGGTAAGTGTCCAGAGGCTTGACCTTTAGGAGGTAACCGTGGGTTTCCAGAGGATTTTGTCCCTCGATGCTTAGTTTTTGGAGTTTGGATACCTATGTTTTGAGGTTCAGCAGAGACCCCTATGCCTTCTGGATCAATTGGCCCATAGTATCTCTTGTACTCATCCAGACCCCCCTCTCCTCCACTTATTCCTGCACCCCAGTGAGGGGGCATGCCTTGGAATTGCGTTAAGTCTGTTATCCCACTGTTCACACCGCCAGGCTTCTCAGGGCCCACCTTTGGACATGTCCACCGATTCACAACAGCTAATCGACGATCATGCCTTGGTAGGAATGTTGAGCAAGGCATGGGTGCTCCAAGAATGGGACTGTTCGATGGCCCTAGTGCCATTCCAGAATGTCCACCTGAAGGAGGGGAGCCAGGAAGAAGAGCATTGTATACCGGTGGCTGCTGGTGGTGTTGCTTTTGTTGTTGCCGCTGTTGTGCCATAGCGATGGGGGGATTGGCCACGACTGCAGAGATCACATGAGGAGGTGGAGGAGGAGGAACTGTGGAGACATGATGATATTGAGGAAGTGTGTTTTGGGAGCCTCCAGGAGCTGTTTCATCCTCAAAATTGCAGCAGCTGTACATTCCCTGTAAGAGATAACAAGCAAAAGATTTACTTAGCAAACAGTTCAGGATATCATAATATTTCCCTTGGTGACATACAAACCGATTTAGACGCTTAGAAAATGTCTTGGTAAAGACGTGAAACATTACCATAAAAATGAAATTGTAAAGCTCCCAGTGCTTTAATGATGCAAAAGTACACACTGTAAGCTCAGCTAACCATTCTCTGAGGTAATGGCAATGCTGACCTCACTCTTTGAGTATTCCATCTAACCTAACTGCCTTACAATACTCTCATAAAAAGTATGGTTGCTTGCAAGGGGGATTTAAGGTTCTTCTCATTCTTTCCACAATGTACACAAAGACAGATAGTGATAATGCAGAATGAATAAATGATCCATCTTCTATCATCCTTTTCCACCCCTATTCATTACTATAAGAGAAGTTATAGGCTTTCATAAAATCCCTCTGTGTGTGCAATGGGAATGCTAGATGTGCCATCACATTTTAGAAATGACAGGAAATAAAGGGAGTGTGCTGCAAAGTCCCCTTCTAAGGATTTAACGCCTGATTGCGAGAGATTACTGCGTGTCAGTCTTTGTTCTTGTTGCAAGTAACAAGAATTGCAAAAAGAGTAATCTTTCCTTTTACTTGCAAATACATTTAAATGATTCCAGTTTTGTTTATTAGGTTCATTTTTACATTTACTGGGCTACAGATTTTAGTTTGCAGAGCTGGAATGATTTATGACACAATTAATGTATTTGATCACTTTCTCTCAAATTTCAGCACAGTTTCATAAGAAATATTCATAAAATAAGTATATTTATAAGGGCTGTGAAAATTAAAGTTAATACTTGTGATTAGTTAAATGTTTTAAAATTTTAAGTGTGAAATAACACATTTATTCAGTTTGATATTAAATTTGATCTGTTCTGTGTGATTTCTAAAAATGAATGGGACACTTTCAGAATGGACTGAAACAGTTTGGAGCCACATCGAAAGTCTCTCACACACATGCACAATTCCCTATGGGAGTTCCCATTTATCAGTGGCCTAAATGACTGAGAAAACCATTATTCTACAGATTATTTATTTATAAATCAAACCCAGATGGGATATTTAACAATTGTAAAGTCATTTGCAGCCTTTATATGATGAAATTTAATTATCATCAAAGCTTAAAAAGTGAAACATCATCCACAAGTGGAACGCCATCATTCATAAAAATGTTAATGTAATCATCAGCGGAGGAATGTGGGTCAGTGGTGCTGGGGGAAGTATGCACATATATTTTGAGTGCCATTAACACAAATTGAAGAACAATAATTACATATATTATTTAGTTTTCTTTCCTTAAAAATGAACGGAATGCATTAACGTTTTAACAAAAAAACAATTGACAGCTCTAATATTTATATTATCTTGCTTTTTATTTGGGTCACTCACCCGACTGAAAGCCAGTAGGAAGTCCATTCCTCCAGAGCGGCCCAAACAATGGCGGAGCTTCCAATAGACAAGATGCTCCCATGCAAACACCAGCAGACTTAGGCCCATTGCAACCAGAAGCATATAGAACACTCCCGCCATGTTGTCTATGTCCAGCTTGGAACTCATCACCTCAATCTTATCATTATGGCAGATCCCAGACAGCCAGAGTCGTTCAAGCATGTCAATCTCATCTGAAAAAAAGGAAAAGATGTGCACAATGACAGGAGATAAGAAGCATGAAAGATAAGTAGGCCTACAAACAGGGGACAAGACAGATGGACAGAAGGGAGAAAATTAAAAAGAAAGGCTAAAGAAAGCAAAAGAGCACTCTAACCCTATTGTTGGGAAAAGTCTTTAATTCAAATCTACAGACAGTGGAGATCTTGCTTTAGCTTCAGTTATTATTACACTGTGTTCACAAAAAGGTGAAAATGGAAAAGAAAAAACAGGAAAAGAATCATAAAAGGCAAGGAGGTGGAAAGAGAGAAGGAGAGAAAGAGAGACTGGAGGATAATAACAGCTTTGATGGAGGTCTGAAATGGCCTGGTTTCGAGGCTCTTGTGATAAGACAGGCCCGTTGTAGTTTGGAGATGAAAGCTCTAGACTGATGGGCCTACCTCCCAACAATAGCCATTAGTGCATTTATCAGAGTGAAAATGTCACTGTGGGAAAAAATAAAAGCATGACAAGGGTATGTTTCTGGCAGAAAAACGACATATGCATTTAGATGACAGCTTTATATCGAGGATTATTCCTTCACTACGAAGGAGGGAGAGAGATAAGTCTAAATCATCATTTCATATGAAACAAAGCATAAAAACAAAACCGCGCTGACCCGCAGGTTAATTACGTTTCAATTTATGACAATATGGCCTTGAACTATGGCTTAAGCCGGGCTCACACTACAGGAGTTTGAAAATCCTAACCGATTATGAAATCTGGTTACAGCACACACATAAGGAGAATCTTTGCAGATTATCTTGCCTCAAATCTTAAACATGCACACACTACAAGATTTTAACATCGTGGCGCATCACACACTACAAGATCTTATTAATATTATCATGCCAGAGGGAGCGCCACATTATACAGACAGTCGTGTTACTATAAAACGTCAAGAAGCAGTTTCCTCCGTCTCCACTATCCAACGGGGCTGTACAGCAGCTGTTTTGCGGTCACGCATTGGCTATTGTGAAAGTACTGACATATTCATATAGCCGTCATCATCCCGATTTAAATCCTAAATATCAAACATGTTTGATATGATCGGGGCGGCCCCGATTTGTGTGCGTGCAGATCGGGAGGTGCAAGATTCGATCGGTGAATGCCTCACATTACCAGATAATCCGCGCCGAACATCGGGAACAATCGAGGGGCTCAACAAGATTTTTGCTCCGATTCTCAGGAGGGGGAAATTTTTTTTCATTATATTTATTCATTCAAACAAGCAAAATCAGCCCTGAGAATTTCAATCCAAATTGGGATGCATCAAAATAAAAAATTGAGGTGTTCCGCTACCACGCTGTCTACTGAAATGACCCTTTGGCTATTCATAATTGTATTAATTTGCTAAATTTTTCTAATATCATTTATCATATTTCAGTGAGACTCTTCCAGCTCCCTTTCACATTTATTCTTTAATCATTATGGGGCAACTCACTAGGTTCCTCATCCTCAAGCAATGCAGGAGAAAAGCATGTGAAGGTGTGCGTATGTGAAACAGAGAAAGGGAGAAAGTGTAACATCACTCATAAAGGTTTAATTTCCAAAAAATGTTGCTCACTCACTATGAAAACAAAACAATAGGAATGTTTGTTTGTCATAGTGAAAATCAGGGGTTTGAGACTGAGTATATTTCCTCCGTCTCCACTATCCAACGGGGCTGTACAGCAGCTGTTTTGCGGTCACGCATTGGCTATTGTGAAAGTACTGACATATTCATATAGCCGTCATCATCCCGATTTAAATCCTAAATATCAAACATGTTTGATATGATCGGGGCGGCCCCGATTTGTGTGCGTGCAGATCGGGAGGTGCAAGATTCGATCGGTGAATGCCTCACATTACCAGATAATCCGCGCCGAACATCGGGAACAATCGAGGGGCTCAACAAGATTTTTGCTCCGATTCTCAGGAGGGGGAAATTTTTTTTCATTATATTTATTCATTCAAACAAGCAAAATCAGCCCTGAGAATTTCAATCCAAATTGGGATGCATCAAAATAAAAAATTGAGGTGTTCCGCTACCACGCTGTCTACTGAAATGACCCTTTGGCTATTCATAATTGTATTAATTTGCTAAATTTTTCTAATATCATTTATCATATTTCAGTGAGACTCTTCCAGCTCCCTTTCACATTTATTCTTTAATCATTATGGGGCAACTCACTAGGTTCCTCATCCTCAAGCAATGCAGGAGAAAAGCATGTGAAGGTGTGCGTATGTGAAACAGAGAAAGGGAGAAAGTGTAACATCACTCATAAAGGTTTAATTTCCAAAAAATGTTGCTCACTCACTATGAAAACAAAACAATAGGAATGTTTGTTTGTCATAGTGAAAATCAGGGGTTTGAGACTGAGTATAGGAGATTACAACTCCACAAACAATCAACAAACCACCATTAGATACACCTGGGGTGTATCTAGGTATTCATTTCATGTAGAAATTCTCTTACCATCTCCAACTAGCTGCAGGAGGGCAAGGTCTAGCGGCCGCTTCCAGCGGGAGTTTTTGTGTAAGGCAATGCCATATCCTGTTGTAGCGAACACTTTGCCAGAGCCGATGGTCATTACTTTGCAGCCCTCGTCCTTACGAGCCATGTAATTCAGGACAGCTGCATCATATATGAATGCATCCAGTTTTCTGCAGAGAGAAAGAGGAAATGGGAAACAAAACAACAAGACATGGGTGAATTACTTCACAAGACTAATTATCACTTTATTGATTGTTACATGTAAACATTGATGATCTTCAGGGAAATCCTATTTCTAAACTAAATAGCGTGTAATTGGTAATTAGTGAAGCCAATCAAGCACTCACCCTAGTTCTGCACCACACTTTTGGGGTTTAACAGCACTGAAAATACTTTTTAGGACTTGGATTTTTTTTTGTTAAAGGGGTTATATGATGCGTTTTCTATTTTTCCTTTCTTTAGTGTTTTATGTAGCTATTTGTGCATGTATAAGATCTGCAGAGTTACAAAGCTCAAAGTCTCCCACAAAAGGATTTATTCTATCTAAAAGAGAAGGCTGATCCAGACCAGGCTAAAACGCCTCATTCAAACACGCCCTCACATGTCTACGTCACGATGTGGAAATATTTGCGTAATACCGCCCAAATGTTCATGCAAAGAAAGAAGGCGTGGTTTCAGGAACCACAGTAGCGTTGATGCAGCCATGTCAGGGAGACGCTGTGTGTTTCTGTGCGAAAGCAAAAGCACTTTATTGGGCCTTCCGAAAGTAGATGCAATTAGGAATCATTGGTTAAGATTTATTTACAACAGAACAGCACAACCCAGATGTTCGAATTTGTGCAACGCATATTGTGTGTGTGTGTGTGTGTGTGTAAGAGAGAGACACAGAGAGAGGTCACATCACTGTGGAGTCAGCTTTCTTAATCACGCCTTGTGTACTGCAAATACATGCGCGCATCATCACTGTGTCTGTCACGCGACTCTGTTCCCCTTTCGGGCTTGAACTGATGGTAAAACTAAGGACATTATTTACTGTCTTTACATTTATGTTGAAAGCTGAAGCTCGCGATTATGGAAAGGGGCGTTACATTTCCGACGCATGCTTGTGGTGTTCGGCCAATAACAATGCACTGGGTCAGCTGGCCAATTAGAGCAGACTGTGCTTGTCAGAAGGAGGGGCTTTGTAGAAAACAACGCGTTTGAGAGAGGCGGGGCATAGAGGAACTACAATAATGTACAGTATTTGAAAAATAATGTTTTTTGTACATTAAAGCATGTCAACATATTCTGTTGCACCAAATACACCAAATAATTATCTTTAAAATAGCACCATATGACCCCTTTAATTTCAGGAATTTGTTGTGTTTTTTTTTTAGGAGCTCTTGGTACAAACATACATACATAAATATATGACACTGAGAACAGAAAGAACATTTAAATAAGACTAAGGAAAAAACAATAAATAAATAATAATAATGTGGTATACATCTGGAACATTAGATTTATGTACAGATTTGTGCTTTTACTGTATATATATATATATATATATATATATAGCAGTATAAATAAAAATATGTATATGTATTTAAATAATACTTGAGAGAGAGGCAATAATTATTTATTAAGAAATTAATTACAGAAGACAGGTGGTAATTTCTGTGTTATGCCTAGTTCACATTACAGGATTTTAAGCCCGATTTAAACCCGATATGCAAGTTAACGAGCTCGCTAACAGGTCGGACTATGATTGGGGGAAAATCAGCGGGTGATCAGCGCTCAGCAATCTTTATGTGTGAACCACTCAACAACGCTCCAAAGAGACTCACTGACGCATTGCCGATGCCAAGCAAATATCTAGCAAGCTAAATATCTGGACTTGTCGGCCGACTCGACATAACGTGGTGGCATGTGTCGCGACAAGCTACAGCCAATGAGAGAGCAAGCAGTGCCGATCCTAGACTTCTGGGGGCCCTACGCAAAACTGTGTCGGGGGGAGGGGACTAAAATGAAATCATCTTTGAGAGCAAGTGTGCCCCCTGGTGTTTCTGGGGCCCTACGCAGCTTGCATATTTTGCATATAGGGAGGATCGGCTCTGAGAGCAGGGCATGGGTTGAGATCAGCGGAAGCAAAACAGAAACAGCAACATGGCTTTAAGAAAAGTTTGGACACAAGAAATGGAGCAAAATTTTCAAAACAGATCATCACGCAAACAGCTTGCAGCACTAATTTCTTTTCTACGTCCATTTTCAAATAAACAAATCCTGTTTCACGTCATTCCCGTTCCACTTCTCACGTGTGCTTTCATGACAAAACTTGGTTTGGGAACCATGTAGAGTCATTGGGTGACAGAGTTGTTGTCAGCTCGTGTATTGTGTGGAGCCCTGTTGCGGATCATTTATGTAGTGTCACGTAATGTGAACACCACAAAGACTTCCAAGACAGACAGCAAGTCATGTAGTCTGAACAGCACAGCGATCTGCCGACGTTTTAAATCATGTAGTGTGAACTAGGCTTAAGCTGGAGATGGCATGGGGGGGAAAACTTTTTATGCCTAGATGTTCTAGTTTACAGAGATCTGTAACTGTCTGCTGTAAGTTGAAGTGCACAGAACCGACTCAATGACAGCTGAGTAAAACTGTCATCTGCGCCTGTGGAAGGTTGAACTATTTCTGTTGACGAAGGAAGGACATCCTCTGCTGGGCCTTTTTCATAATGGAATCAATGTGATTGTCCCACTTCAGGTCCTGTGAGATGGTGGTGCCCAGGAATCTGACTGATTCCACTACTTCCACAATGCTATTCATGATGGTTGGAAGTGGGAGTGCAGGGGGGTTACTTTTAAAGTCTACAATAATCTCCACAGTTTTGAGCGTATTCAGTTCCAGGTTGTAACTTGTGACTGCACCAGACAGCCAGCTACTCAACCTCTTGTCTGTAAGACTCGTTGCTGTCCTGGATGAGACCTGTCTGGGATGGCTCCGTTCAACCAGTTTTATTTGCTAGGGAGCGGATATTCACCAGATTGGCAGCGGAATCCTAAAACCGTGCTGTTGGAATTTCACTTCCCTTGTTTGTGTCGCTTGGAGCACGTCTATAGGATCACAGCTTCTCCAACTAGAATGTCCAGTAAAACGTCTTAATGCTCAAAAGTTGGCAAAAAATATTTTGCCATGCTATTATTGATGTCTAGGATCTCGTCCCTAGTAAAGCTGATCAGAAAAAAGTTACTTAAAACAGGACAAACTAGAAATAAAAATAGTAAAAGTACCAAGGAGCTACAAACCGAGGCAGCCATGCGCAGCGCCATAAAAAAAAATCAGTTTTCAAATTCCTACTGTAAGGTTACTTTTATCTATGATTTACATTAAAATCAAGTTTCCGAAGGACTTTAAACAGATACGTCAGGTGCACTGAAATTGCACTGCATTAATGTGTTTTCACTACATAAAAATACAGTGATAAATCTATAGAAAGTGTGAAGAAAAGGAAATTATAAGGTATTGGTAAGCATGAATAAGCATCAAGTAAACAACTACTACATGCATGCATACTCTTGTAACGTTTATTATTATTTATTAGCTCTAAAAAGGGGAATATTTATGACGAATCATAAATGGTTATGATTCATAATAAATATTTAGATTATATCTTCGAATTAACTGTAGCAGAATCAAGTTCGTTTGGCCATTCACAGCTCTCTGTGGAATGTTTTTGATCAGAAGATTCCAGGATTCTCGTGGGGGCTGGTTCTAATCTTTTTGACGGCGAAGAACCATTTGGCAATTTACAACCCCTCTACAAGTAACATCTCTGACCAGAACTGTAATTTATATGCAAATGTCAAAAGGCTAAAAGGGTCTTTTAAGCCATAAACAGTCCAACACTCCAGCATGATCCTACGCAGACGCTACACTCTGTTTTTATATGCAGGTGGATAATCAAATATCTTTCTGGGACTTGTATTTCTTCCATGGTGGAGATTGTTGAGTAACAGTTTGAAATGTGATGCTTGGAATACAGCATTTTGTGCAATTACTTTGCTAAGCAATCAGACTGAACATTTTCACCTGCTGCATGATAAAACAGACAAAAATGGTGCCATTTTCTTTTTCAAATAATGCAAAAATCCACTTTAATCTTATTACTCCATATTCACAGTGCTAAATAATTCAGCAGCTGAATCTTATACAGTAAAAACATAAAAGTTGCTTTTTCAGAAGTCAAGTAAGCTTTCCGCCTGATCAGTCAGGTGCACTGGTATGCCTCTTTTCTTTGATCATATTTTTCCCACCTTGTAACATACCAACGTCTTTGCAGCAAAAATCCAAATTGACAGCTTATTACTGGCTACTCTTCAACCTCCTGCTAAGCACACCTTGAGGTTATTAACAAGCTCTACTTGGCCCTCCAAGACCAGCAAGCACCACATTAGCATTCAAGGTAGCAGCTTTTGTCAGAAGCGTTGTATCCAACAAAACAGAGCCCTTGGGGGAAAATGAGTCACACATTTCAGTAAGGGTGAACCAAATGAACAGAACATACACAGACAGGTGTTTGACAGCACACTGGCCCACAGTGCAACCCGACTGAAATAGGAAGGCAGTAACAGCAGTAGGTAGGCTGTTGAGGTACACAAGTGCCTCTGAGAATCAGCTAGCGCCTAGTTGGAGACCTGACTTGTTGACTCGTGGGCTAGCGATTGCATTGCACGGCTTGAAATCGAAAGTCTCACTCTGCAGGCTACAACTATTACACAAACCAAGTGCTTATGAATGACAGATGAAATCTTCACGAGAAATTGCAAAGCCTAAACATTGCGATTACACATTCTAGCCCGCAAACATAACCTTTTTTGCGATGGGATGCATATTCATGCCCTTTGTATGCATAATGCAGGGACTTGAGCTTTAGATTGGACAGCCGTAGACACACACACTCCCATGCACACAGATCCTAGGGCAGTGAAGCAGTGTTAGCGCCACCACACTGCTATTTAATAATTCTGGAACAATCATGGCATCTTATGATGCAGAGTAGTGAATGAATAATACACAAGTGCAGAAATGCTCCTTTCGGTGATTAAACACTACCAGATGAAAATGGAATGACATAAAATGCTCTTTGTATAACAAAGCCTCGCAAAGCTTTTAAAAAACTTTTGTTTCCTAAACCAGCGTCATGCAGAGTTGTGTCAACTGGCTAGGCACATAAAAGCATCATCATAGGAAAACTCAATGCTTGACTAAACAACTATAATACCACCATGCCTCTAAACTAAGCTGCCTCAGCTGTGGTCACAATGTGGCACTAACAAAAACACAATCTGCTACTACAGTATAAAGCAGGTGTCATTGTTCACCTTCTATATTAATACATTAAAGATAATGACACTAGTGGCTAGATAGGGGAAGTCGTGGCCTAATGGTTAGAGAGTCGGACTTGTAACCCAAAGGTTGCGGGTTCGAGTCTCTGGTCCAGCAGGAATTGTAGGTGGGGGGAGTGAATAACCAGCGCTCTCTCCCACCTTCAATACCACGACTGAGGTGCCCTTGAGCAAGGCACTGAACCCCCAACTGCTCCCCGGGTGCCACAGCATAAATGGCTGCCCACTGCTTCGGGTGTGTGTTCACAGTGTGTGTGTGTCAAAATTTATTTTCAAAATCTTTTATACACACAACCGTCCAACTATATGATTTGTTATTGTATTTGGAGCAGTATTTTTATGGCATAATAACAACAAAGATCATATTTAGTGTGTCAGCATTCAACTTGAGCAGATACATTTACACTAAAAACAAGTCAGAGTAAGTAATTTGGAGATTTTTAAATATATTGTGTAAAAAGAAAAAGAAAAAAAAAACATTTTAAAAACTATTACATTTATAACAGCCAAAAATACATGTAATTAAATTTAGTTTATAATTTTTTAATGTTTTTGAAAGAAGTATCTTATGCTCAATAAGGCTGTATTTATTTGATTAAAAAAATAGTATATTGTTACAATAAAAACACTAATATTGTGAAATATTATCACAATTTAAAGTAACTGTTTTATAATTTAATATATTTAAAAATGTAATTTAATCATGTGATGGAATTTTTATTCCAAAGCTGAATTTTCAACATCATTTCTCCAGTCTTCAGTGTCACATGATCCACATGAATCATTCTAATATGCTGATTTGTTGCTCAAGAAACATTTCTTATTAATATCAATGCTAAAAACAGATGTTAAAAAAACATTTAAGCATTTATTTAAAAACAGCATTCATTTGAAATAACAATGTAAAGGTCTTCAATTTGGATCGATTTAAAGGGGTCGTATGATGCGATTTCAATTTTTCCTTTCTCTTTGGAGTGTTACAAGCTCTTGGTGCATAAAGAAGATCTGTAAAGCAGCAAAGACTAAAGTCTCAAATCCAAAGAGATATTCTTTATAAAAGTTAAGAGTCAGCCACACCTACCTAAAATGGCTCGTTCTAACACACCCCCACATAGCTACGTCAGGATGTGGGTAGATTTGCATAACGCCGCCAAAATGTTCACGCAAAGAAAGAAGGCGTAACTTTTATTCTCGCTGTAGTTTTGTTGTTTCCGCCGCCATGTCATAAAGACGCTGTGTGCTTCGTTGTGAAATCGAAACTACTTTGTTTGGTCTTCCAAAAGAGGACGATATCTGCTTCGTCATGCCTAGAGCTGATCCGTGCTGGTTGCTGAGGAAATACTACAACTTTGCGCTGTCGATCGCCGGATTGGCTTTCACCGTGGACGAAGCGGAGTCCAGCTCGGAGTCGTCACATGTCTTTCCTACGCTCCATCGAAATCGCCGGCCGCGCCATTCTCAAGCCCGCCCGCCTCTGCTCACTCTAACCCACCGGCCGTTCCTCACGCTAGCCCCCGGCCTCTGCTCACTTTAGGCTGCCGTGTGTGACGCTGTTTTGTTGTGAAAGCGAAACTACTTTGTTTGGCCTTCCAAAAATGGACACGACTAGAAATCAGTGGTTAAGTTGTATTTACAACACTGTTCCAGAACACTTCAACCCAAATATTCAGATTTCCTGATCCTGGGAGAGTAGACTACAATGCCGGCTGTTCTGACTCAAAGACTGCAAGTACGTTTTTTTTATATTTAAAGAGTTTTTATATTTTATATATTTAAAGCGAGTTTTTTGGGCAGTGTAGAGTAGGGCTTGTTGTTTGTCATTTCTCCGATCACAAATGCAGACATGGTTTTATGTTTACGCAGCGCGATGCGATGCAACGCAACGCGTAAAAAGACAGTATAAGTCATTATAATCCATAATTATGTCCCCACTGGATGCAACGAATGCCTCGTTTATAATGGGTTTTCATGTTTTTGAATCATCGCTCCAGCCTGACAGGGCATCATCACAATATGGTGAGGGGCGTAACATTTCTGTCTCACGCTTGAGGTATTCGGCCAATCACAATGCACTGGATAGCTGGCCAATCACAGCACACCTCGCTTTTTCAGACTGATGAGCTTTGTAAAAATCGATGCGTTTCAGAAAGGCGGGGCATAGAGGAGAAACAATAATGTACAGTATGTGGAAAATAATGTGTTTTTTTAACCTTAAACAGCATAAACACATTTCATTACACCAAATACACCAAATAATGTTCTTTTTAGCAGCATCATATGACCCCTTTAATGCATCCTTGTTGAATAAAAGTACATTTAAAAAGACTGCCCTGTTATGGCAAATTGCTTGTGATGTTCCTCATTTCTAAGTCACTTTGGATAAAAGAGAGTGCTAGATGAATAAATGTCAAATCTAAATAAAATAAATAAAGTTTGACTGCAGTACATTAAACGAGAGATATCAATACCATGCTCGCCCTGCAAGCACAAATCCAGTTGAAGACCTAGTATCCTGCGAAAGTAGTAATGCCCGCTGAATGTTTTGTCCTTTCAGTGACATAGCACCAAGGAGGAAAGTCAATCTTTACACCCTCCTTCGAAAAGTGACAGCCAACAAAATTATTAACTCCCCTGTTGTGATCCATCATGTCACCCATATCCGTCAATTACTTGTGAGCACATCTGTTTTCCCCCACGGCTTAAAAGAACATCTTGATTCATTGGGACATAACACTTTTGTGGTCTGATTTAGGGCCAGGATTAAATTAATTTGCCATGCTGGCTACTACTAAAACACTTCATTATACAGTTTATGCCTATGAATTAGTGTTGTCTTTCACGATGGTCGTCATTCACTCACCCAGTTTTAAGGTTGTCGATGGCCTCTTCCACGCCTCTCTGATTGTTCCGCACCATGTACTGATGCATGTTGGGGTAATTGCTCCGTATATTCTCCTCTGTACTCCCATTTGGGACAGTGCCAAAGCGTAAGGGAGGATACTGCTCTGTGGGATGCTGAAACTGAACACAACATTAGGAAAACACATCATTAGAAATATGAGATTACAGTTTAGGCCACTGAAATTCACATAATTAGTCATTTGGCTAACTATGATTGTAAACACTAAAGTGTGAGGTGGGAGTAAAAAGAATGAAAATGGAATCATTGTTTCATATGATTATAGGCAGATGATTTATTTGCATAATTTGGCTCCAACTGCTCCACACAAACAAATGTCTGTTTCAAATGCAAGTGAGACCTATTTAAAAAAAAGATTTATAGTGTGTATCCATATCACTGCAATGTCAGTTATTGTTGCACAACCACAATTTCAGCCTATACAAAAATTTCGCTACAGCTCAGTTTAGTTCACATCATGTCTAGTAAATAGGGATACACTGATTTTAAAATTGTGACTGATACCAATAAGCCAATATTTATTTTCATTTTACGGCTGATAACCATGTTGTTACTGTTAACTAAAACTACCAAAAAATGTCATCAGTAATTGAAATAAAGCTGAAATAAAATGCAAGATGACAACATAAACTTAAACAAAAATAAGAAATGTTGCCTTAGCTAAACTAAACTATAGTATAAAGTATACAAGTATAAAATAATACTAAAATCTGCACTTAATGTGCAGAATGAATAATGAATAAACATTTTTATTCAATTCTTGCTACAAGAAAAATAGCAGGGTCCTGTTTTACTATAATCTATGAATATCCCTTTAAGTTAGTAATAAATGGTCACCCAAGCCATAAAATAGGCAGAAACAATTCAATATCCAATAGTGGTAGATAATTATACATGATAAATAATTATACAGTTATAAATTACAACAAAAATGCCTTAATATACCAATTATTTTATTTGCAAATAAAGATCATGCAAATATAAAACAATCATATTTATTACATAATGTTTCCACACAAGTACGACCTCCATATACTCAGCTCAATGTAATAGCTAAAAAAAAAGGGAAATTTGTTACTAAATAAAATAACTTTTATCATTGTCTACCTTCTTATCACTGAGGCCTGACACAGTGTCGATGTACTCTTCTTGGATCATGAAAGCAGCCAGGTTAGCAGTGTAGCTGGCCAGGAAGATGACAGCAAAGAAAGCCCAGACCAGCACCATTATCTTACTGGTGGTGCCTCTTGGGTTTTCCACCGGAACAGAGTTATTAAACACCAGAGCCCACAGCAGCCAAATAGACTTCCCTATGGTGAACTTTGAACCTCCTGTCTCTGAGGGAAGAATAACACAGGAAGGCCAAGTGAGACATGTCTAATTATGACATAGACAGTGATAACAGCAAGTGTAAAGGTATTTATCAAAAAGACACATGAGAAAAGGAGGAACACAGCTCGAGGTGAACTGTGGAACATGCTTACAATGATAATAACAATCTGTAAACATGTCCTTCATTGCTGATTGCATTCATGAAAGTGCCCAGAGCAAAAGCTTGAATTTATAAACAACATACTCTTCCCACTCTGTAAGCTTCGGTTATATCCAACAGGGCTTAAGAATTCGAATATGAAGACGGTCACAGCTACCACAGACAGGCACATGACGAACATCATCACCCACACAGCTGGGCTGTACGGCTCTATAATGGTGGAAAAAAATATAAAAATGAATGGATGTCAATCCAAACTATTTAAAGGGGTCATGACATATTTTTTTCCCTGGGCTCCATTTATAATATAATAATTTTTTTTGAGCCAATAAGTCTATAGTTTAGATTTTACTGAGTATTGCCCACACTATTAAACAGCCAATTTATCAGCCTCTTTGCAAAGCCTGACTTAAACAGCAAAATCTGTGCAAAAAGGTGCCATACAAACTGTTAAAATCAGATTTGAAATGATCAGGGACCTTATTAAAATAAATTTCAGTAATTATTATTTTTTTTTGGTAAATGCCATTCATCAATGGCATTTACCAAGCAGTAGGTGCTACAAGCAGTCAGGAACATCACACGGTTTGACAAACTTTCTTACATTTTATCATTCTTCTTGTTTAGGAAGAACTGCGTATTCTATTTTCTTATTATCTCATGCAAGCTTCTGATATCCCAATACATGTCACTGCAGAAAAAAAGAGGCTCCTATAAGAAACAAAAATAGGCACCAAATAATTTTTTTAAGTGCCACAGAATAAATGTTTTTTTTATTTATTTCTTTTTTAAACACATTAACATTTCAGTCATACTGTCATATATGTATGTCTCCCCTCCTTTTACAGCATCAGCATTTTAATCCATCTTGTAGATGTCCTGGGAACTAAGGTTCACTTAAAGTGAGAACTAAACATCATTTCCAACTTGATAACTATATACCAGCGGTGGCGAACTCCGGTCCTGGAGAGCCACAGCCCTGCAGAGTACAGCTCCAACCCTAATTAAAACTCACCTGCCTGTAGCTTTCTAGTAACCCTTGAGACCTTGATTAGCTTGTTCAGGTGTGTTTGATTAGGGTTGAAGCAAAACTCTGCAGGGCTGCGGCTCTCCAGGACCGACGTTCGCCACCCCTGCTATATACAGTCAGAAAGAATAGTTTATTACACAGAATCTGTGCCAATATCACAGACCATAACTATGTTAGAATCACTTGGCCATTGAGTGTAGTTTGGGCTCCTCCTCAATGCATCCTATAAATGTTGTCATATGTCCTGCACACATCCAGTCTGTTTTTCTTCATTAGTAACATTCAATTATATAAGAGGTGTTGAATTTTATCTTTAGCTCCTTGCATTCTTTCTTATCATGTAGACAACAGATTAAGTAAAACATGAATATGCAATATAGCACATATATTTAGCAAAATGCTCTTCTTTAATTGTTTTTTTCCCCTAGCTGACTAATGAGCTTATGAACGCCGAATAGTTATTCTGTGGTAAACGATTGTTACGTGGCATTGTTTACAAGCTTTACACATTTTATGCAGTTTGAAACATTGAAAGAGCGCTTACATGAGACATTTCAGATATTTTGATGTCCATTCATGTTTATTTCATACTATAGTAGTAAAGAGAAAGATATGATGGGTTCAACCCGCTAAAGTGATCACTCATGCTACATTTCTGAGTGCCAAAATGGTATTTATTTGTTTGAATTTTGTAGAATTTTAAAGCTCATACTTTGTTTATTAAAAGCCTATTGCGATTATTGGATGGCAAGTGCGCTACAAATAATATGAAGTTCATGCATTAACAGAACACAGCATTTAGACTAAAGGTCTTGATAACAAGAAGCCATATTAGTATCACAAATATAAACGAGAATTGTTAACGACATTGTTAATGTCCACACAGCTGACAGCTTTGCATGTTGTAATTTGTTCAAGTTGTGCATGAAATAGACCCCGGTTTTCTTCACTTTTACTTCACACGTCTCCGTCATTTTCGATCTCTCTCATGCTGCCACAACTAGAGCTGCTTTTAGCAGGGGTGCATAACAAAAGATGTGATCGCAAAACAAGCAGGAAAAAAGGCTTTACATGCAAATTTTTAAGTCATAATATGTACATTTTAAAAATATCACTCGCAAACTAATATTTTTGGCCGCAAATGCAACCGTTTTAGTCGCAGTCTGGAACCCTGCACTGACATGCAAAAAATTGGGGGAGGAAGTTCAGTATGTTTTTATTTTAAAAAATAAAAATAAGAAAAAATGTTATTGTTAAGACCATCTTAACAATAAAAAAAAAATCATTGTTAGGGATAGGCCAAGTTGGATTGCTAATTACAAGATTATAAAGATCCTTAAACCATTACCATTTGGCATGTGTGCATAAAAAGTCAAATGATAATCAGCAAAAAATTTTGCAAATACAACATTTAACATAAACATGATATATAACACTAAATCTGAAGAAATATGAAGCCTGTAGCTCAACTGGTACAGCATAGTGCTGGCAAAATCAAGGTCAAGGGCTTTATTCCCAAGGAAAGGTTCATACAGATAAATTGTTTTACTTTGGATAAGTGTCTGCCAAATGCCTAAAAGTAAAAATGAAGTCCTCCCTCCTATTCCCTTACCGAGGAAAGCAGATGGTGACACAGTGCCATTGCTACGAGAGACCATGACACTGATGCCAGTCTCCACAAACGGAACAGAGAACTCTACAACCTCTGACCTCTCTTCATTAATAGTCAAGGAGCCGATCGCCATGTCAGCCCGCTTGGACACCACCTGGTGGGGAAAGAGTTTAATAGCATTACGAACAGAGGAAGTGTATTTAAGAAGTTTGTCAAAGTAGTAACTAACCTTTATGGACTACTTAGTCTGAATGTTAAATCTGAATGTTAAATTCCGTTAAATCTGAATGTTGCTTAGTTCACATTTAAAAAAAAAAAGTTTTAGTTTTGTTGTATATAATTTATATTCAAGAACATTAGCTTGCATATTATGGCCTGGTGCTTTATCAGTGTCACAGTTTGAGACAAAAAAACCTGCTGCACCTGAATTCAGTCAACATTGTGATGATAAAATCAAGGTGAACAAATAGTCGAGAGATAAAATGAGGACCTGACCTCCCCGACCATTCCATTCCACTCTCCATTTATGTTCTTTCCATGCCTGCCATTGGTCACCAGATAGAGGTCATAGCTGAAGCCCACTATTTTAGCCAGGCGCTTGAGAACATCAATACAGAAGCCTTTGCAGCAGTGCTTCATGGATTGAATGCCCTCAACAACCATGCTGTAATTGAAAAGAAGAAGAGAAAGACATAGAAAAAGAAACAGAAATGGGACAGTGACACAAAAGAAAGAAATAGTGTAGAGAAACCAAGTAAAAGAAACTAAATGAACATCCCTGCTTAGAATTGTCACCTAAGGTAAACACACATAGTCTGAGGTCTATCAGTATAAAGTATAAGTGTCACGGTGTGCCGACTGTGAGAAGCGAGGAACAAGGAGCAAGGAACGAGGAGAATCATGATCAACAGTCTTTATTTTAAATCTAGGGAAACACACGTAGGACACGGGATCGATGTTCAAGACAGCACACCAGACACTAGGAAACACAGGGTTTAAGTAATAAGGGAACTAATGGGACACACCTGGGATCAATAGAACTAAACAGGGAACACCTGAAACAAATGATCATAATAAGGACAGGAACGGGAAGGACCAAATAAGGGCATAAACATAACATGGAGCATGTGGGGGAGGAAAGCACAACACAAGACAGGAACCGAGTCTGACATTACTCTGGAGGGGGGCTCTGGAGGCCTCTCAGGACAGGCTTACAGGGACGAATGGCCTCCAGGGCGGTACCTGTTCCGGGACCCATGGCGGATAAGGCAGACTAGGGAGCCATGGCGGAACAGGCAGTTCAGGGTGCCATGGCAGATCAGGCAGACTAGGAAGCCATGGCTGATCAGGCAGACTAGGAATGCATGGCGGAGTAGGCAGACTAGGAAGCCATGGCGGAACAGGGAGCTCGGGGAGCCATGGCGAAGCAGACAGTACAGGAGGCCATGGCGGAGTAGACAGTTCAGGAGGCCTGGCCTCAGCACTCGGCCCGGCCTCCACGGACGGACCCCTTCTATCCCCCCCAAAAACTTTTGGGGAGAATATCGTCTTTAGACGCCCTCCGTAGGCCTAACTCGGGAACTGTAGCCCTCCCTGGGCTTGACTTGGGAACTGGAGCCCTCCTTGGGCTGGACGTGGGAACTGGAGCCCTCCTTGGGCAGGACATGGAGACTGGAGCCCTTTCTGTGCTAGACTCGGGGACTGGAACCCTCTCTGGTCTAAACTCGTGGACTTGAACCCTCTCTGGGCTAAACTCGGGGACTGGAACCCTCTGTGGCCTAAACTCGGGGACTGGAGACCTCTCTGGGCTAAACTCGGGGACTGGAGCCCTCTCTGAGCTAAACTCGGGGACTGGAGCCCTCTCTGGGCTAAACTTGGGGACAGGAACCCTCTCTGGGCTAAACTCTGGGACTGGAGCCCTCTCTGGGCCAAACTCGGGGACTGGGACCCTCTCTAAGATAAACTTGGGGACTGGAGCCCTCCGTGGGCTAAACTCAGGCTAAACCCTCTTTGGGCTGGATTCGGGGGCTGGAGCTCACACTGGAGCAAGCTCTGGGGCTGGGATGAGGGCGGAGAACAGACTTTTTCTCCTCATCCTCCTCCTTTGGTTAAGGGTAAACATCTAGGGAAACACACGTAGGACACGGGATCGACGTTCAAAACAGCACACCAGACACTAGGAAACACAGGGTTTAAGTAAAAAGGGAACTAGTGGGACACACCTGGGATCAAAAGAACTAAATGGGGAACACCTGGAACAAATTATCATATTAAGGACAGGAACGGGAAGGAACAAATAAGGGCATGAACATAACATGGAGCACGTGGGGGAGGAAAACACAACACAAGACAGGAACAGAGTCTGACAATAAGATTATTTAAAGGAAATGGTCTGCTGTTTTAAAAACAAGCACTACTCAATAGAAACTGGAGCAGTGATCAAACAAGAAAATTTCATTATTTAGCTAAAGATTGAATGCCATACAGCACCCAAAAATATAACAGATTTTTATTTTCGTATTCATTTTGCCTAACTGAAGAGACAGCACCACAGCAATAATTACTGTAAAATATACACTGGTGGCCAAAAAGTAGTCATTACTATATCTAATAGCAGTGTTTATTAATTTTATTTTTTTTAAAATCCACACTTTGAAATAAGTAATATAGATATTCTTTTTTTTTGCTTTCTCACAGGGAATCTGTGGTGTAGATGTGTTTAATTATAATGAAAATGTCATGTAATTTTTTTATGCAAAATGTTGGTTGGTTAAACAAAATCATAATGTATCTAATTTAATAAAACTAATTTATATTATCTTTCTTTTGATTTTGGGATGAAATATGACTTGGGCATGTTCTTGTTTTTGTGACATTCGCCCAGGCACTGTATGCTAGACCAGGAAGAATTTTGAGAAATTCTGCATTTAAATAAAGTAAATGAAGTAAAGTGCTCTAACACAGAACTATCATTGATCAACCTCTTCCATTTCTACGTGCATTTCTAATTTATTTAAATTCCATCAGTTAGTGACAGGATAGGGAATGAATGCCCCTGGGGTAATGTGAATGTAATTTGCAACATCTGCATATTCACTGACACATTTGCCAAAGTGATAACCCCAAAGGTTGAATATTTCCAGTCTAAAAATCCACAGAGTGAACCTTGACCTGTTGTTGAGAGGCAGACGGCATGGCACAGAGTCTCTGATGCAGGAGCCTGTTCCAGGATCAGCAGGCTCTACAATGACGAACGGCCTCTCCTCCAGAGTAACCACACGCAAGTGTTGGGAGTCATCCAGAGGTTTGAGGAATGGGCCGTAACGGGACCAGGGAGGGTAACGCAGACGCAGCACTCCATTTTCCCACCAACCTACCTACAACAGTAAGAAGATGCCATTAAAATGACACAAAAACCTTTCTGAGACTTCAGACAGATGCTGAATATTTCATAATGGTACGTTAAATATGATTGGTGTTGGCATCTGACATTTTCAAGACAGTTTGTGGATGTAGTGCCAACTTTATTAAGTAAGAAACTGAAGCTGAAGCACATATAAAATGTCTGTCTTCCCAAGTGACAGCTATTTTATCTTTCAACAAGCCACGTAAACCCAAACCTTTCAAAGCTACTGCAGCATGGCACCTTTTTAACATCCCATGATTCCCAATCCCAAGTGTTAACTATCTGTCAGTGAACATGACAATTAAATAAAATAAAACAAAACAGACTTTTGTTCTAGCTCGACAATGAATGATCTACTATTTCTGCAGCTCGACTTCCTAGTCTGCCTACTCCGCCATGCATTCCTAGTCTGCCTGATCAGCCATGGCTTCCTAGTCTGCCTGATCTGCCATGGCACCCTGAACTGCCTGTTCCGCCATGGCTCCCTAGTCTGCCTTATCCGCCATGGGTCCCGGAACAGGTACCGCCCTGGAGGCCATTCGTCCCTATTACTGGCACGGTTCTGAAACTAGCCATTTCAAACTGACAAAAAGTGCATGAATACCAAAAACATTCCTGCAAAAATCTATTATTTCTTATGGCTTGTTGACATTTGCCAGGAAAATGCTGTATGTGCAATCATTTGCAATTGCCACTCAATTGCATTCAAGTCCCCTGCCGAAAACAATTTCCCTTTCGAGAGTAATTTAAAATAACAGACAAGTTATTGGAAAAACCGGAACGTTGTGAACTATACAATAAAACACAAATAAGCATGTAAAAACATAAGGTATGAATTGCAGACTACTAATTTTTACCATGAATTTAGAATTTTTAATAGAGGGAGAGAGAGATTGCAAACTCTCAGTGTACAGTAGGTTGATCATTTTGCTGAATTATATCACAAGTATATGTACTAAAAGTACTGAATATGAAGATCAAGCTTAGTTTCAATAATAACACAGTTTATACATTATAATACAAGTAAGAATTGTGTCAATGCAACCTTCGGGCTTTGCACAAAATGTAATGTGAATGTGCATATATTTATTATTTGATGCACTTCAGTCCCTTCTGTGTGACACACGGTTCATTTCAAATGCATTCTTCACATTTCATTTATATTGCATTTAAATGGCAAGGCAAAATGCGAACTCACTTGGGAGCTGCATTTAAAACAGTTCAATGATAACCATGAATATCTAAACACATTTAAGCATTCTACTGGCTCCACCCCTACCTCCTCCCAGCCTCTTCCTGCAGTGTAGGAGATAACATCCAGGAGCGGATTTGCCAGATAACCGTCATTATTAAAGGAATAGTCCCGTCCAGATAGAGTTATGTTACTGAAGAACCTGCAGGAGGAGAAGAGGAAAAAAAGAGCAGGGTGATAAAGGAGGAGTCTGAGTGAAAGTGATAAAGAGAAGGAGAGAGAGCAGTAAGAGATAAAGAGTGATAGATGGGAGTTCCATTAGTCACCACTCCACTTGGGGTGGTGTGTGATTTGTGCTGAATGCTTAAGGGATTCTTAAGCAAACCTTCTCTGCTGAACATTAAACAGAAATGACAACACTGATTCTCAATGAATATAAAAAAGAACGACCGAAAACTCAAGGTATAACTGCCTAACCAAATGAATGAATCAATGAATGAATTCAGAAGAAAATAGACAGAATGGAAGGATTAAAAAAACAAATGTAAGTAAAGTAAAGCTAAATGTATGAACGAACAAGCTATATTTTGAATGAAATCTGAATTTAAAAATTGTTGATAAATGATTGAATAGCTAGGGTGAATGTATACTGTATTTGTGAATGGAAGAAAGGGCTGATGGATGCATAGATGAATTTAAAAAATGAAGGGTGCTGAAAGATGTATAAATTAGGAAACGAATAGAGTAGAGAGAAAAATATGGATGAACAGACAGATAAAATATGAACGAGAGTAAAAAGGATCAACTTAACGAATAAATTAACAAATAAGAAAGAAAAATGGGATGGATGAATGGATAAAAAAATTTATAGTTTAAAGGGTAAGAATGATGAATGAATGAAATAGAGGAAAAATGTATGGACATTAAACAGAAATGACAACATAGAATCTCAATGAACGTAAAAACAGAATGACTCAAAAAGTATAAATGAATGAATCAATTAATTAATACAGACGAAAATTGAGAGCATGGAAGGATTTAAAAAAAGACAAAAAAAGCTGAATGAATGAGTAACAAACAAGCAATTTTTTGAATGAATTAAAAAAATGGATGAATGAATGAACAAATAAATGAATGAAAGGCAAATTTATTTGTGAATGGATCAATAATATATTCATTTTATTTACATAAATTAGAAAAGAAATAGGGATACTTTTGGAAGAAAGGGTACATTCATAGATGAATAAAAAATAAATGGTACTGAAAGATAATTTTCATGAATGTGTAGAATTAGGGAATGTAGAAAAAGATGGATGAATGGACAGATAAAATAAAAAAATGTAAAAAGGATCAACCATCAATAAATGAACAAATAAGAAAGAAAAATGGGATGAATGAATGATAAAAAATGAAGAATTGTTTAAAGGGTAAAAATGAATGAATGAATGAATGAATGAAAAAATAGAGTGAAACAAGTGGATAAACTGTATTCATGGAATAGATTACGGGGAAAAAATTTATTCAGAATAAACTGATGAAATTTGTATTTATTCATGTTTTCACTTATTATGAAAAAAAAAATTTGATGGATGGATGAAAAAAAGCAAGGGTAAAGAAAAGGATAACCTTCAGAGGAATGAATCAATGCGTCTACGAAAGAGGAACTGGGTGGATGGAGGATGAATGGCATGCCCTAAAGCACTGCTGCCACGGCTCCGATTGTGCTTTTATCACACTTCCAGATCGGCGGCAGGACACGGCAGTCATCTCGCCAGTGGCTTGTTTTCAATATTCAGTGTTTGGAGCTCTTAGGATGCTGCCGAGATGCTCTTGTTAGTCGCCATGACAACTAGGAGCACAAGAGTAGGACTGAAACTCTGGAACAGATGCGAAACGTGAACATCCCAACAGAGTATTTTCTCCCCTGCGCGTGTGGAAGCTGCTCCTAGTTTTCTTTTCATTGGTGATGAGGTAATTGGCCAGAGAAAAAGACTCTTTCAACCAGCTCGTTTTTCATTTTTTTATTTTAGCCTGTCATTGCACGGGGCGCTCGGCTTATTTTTATGAGACATGTCTCATAAGTATTTCCACTTCTGTCTTTGGGAGAAAATGTACTTGATATCTGATCCATAATTGATGTCAGGCTCTATATAAGAGATTATGTTCATTTCAAAAGCGACGGTTGCAATGACAGCTACAGCGGGCTTCTGGTTTAATGCCCCGTTTAATAGGTTGTGAGCAGTATTGCTTAGCTAAACTTCATTCCTCCATCTTGAAATGGCACACTAAACACTTTTAGAAATACAAAATGGAGATTATAAACAACGCTGTTTATTTTTCATGCCGCATTTTTTCATGCATACTCACAAGGGAATCATACTCGAGTTTACAAATCACTCTCAAACATGTTTGATCAGTCACACGCGATATCTGCTACAGATCGGCAATTCAAGAAAACGCCCAATTCGGCATAATTCAATTATCTCGCACTCATTTCGAGAGTGCAATGGAGAGCGTGACGATCTTAACAACCTCGAGTCGGTGATGCCACACTTTCCTCATTCCCTTGCTCTAGACCCCTGCAAGGTTGTCATAGCGACACAGCCATTGACATTACATGTGTTCTGCTAATGCCTTACATTGTGGGGTGAACAAACAACCTAAAGCACAGCACGTGGCGGAATACAGATGTCACTTGTGTCATCACAATGAAGACGAGAAAGAGAGAGGAAGGAAAAAGGGAGCGTGAGCCTGACACAAAATGGAAATGTAGCAGTGATGTACTGTCACACGGAATGTGAAATGAAAAAGCCTGGAGACACAAGGAAGAGGAAGTGTGTGGCACACACACCAGGACAGGATAAGGAGAGATGCAGATTGTTTGAACATCAGAGGGGTGTTTAAACATCAGAAACATTTGAGGGGTTGTAATGTGTCCATTAAAGCAGCATTAGTATGGTGATGAGCAGAGGCACTGCCCTCCGCAGCTGTGTGTATGTGTGTTTGAAAGAGGGAGTATCTCAAAATAATATGGCTGTATACATTCACAATATGGTTTCTCTATGATCGAAAGTCATAAAGAGAGAGAGGCTGTTCCAGAATCTAGTGAGATTTAGAGATTTAGAACCCCATTTTTTGGGTTCACATACAGGTTCAAAAGTTAATTGAAATGGCTAAAAATGCTGTCTCTGTAGGAATGTTCGCGCTCACCCATGATGCCCAAAAAAGTAAGGAGGAACATTCAAATATGCCTACTAAATTCCAAAAGTGCTGTCGGAAGGAATGTTTGAGCTCACCTGTGATACCCAAAAATGCTTTCTAGGCACATTTAACATGCCTATGATGCTCAAAAAGGGACTCTAGGGTTATCTAGACAAAAGAACATTCTAACGGGCATCAAAAGATGTAAGACGCGAATGCAACGGTCAAACACATCCATCTAGTGCATTTTTACGTGCAACAATTGAAAATCAGTGCAATGGAATGCAAAAAGGAGTTCTGTTTGAACTGTCCCTAATGATGCCTATGGACAATCAACAAACCTATTCTGCCAAAAAATGCTGCTTGTTGAAAACGTCTGGGTTGGAGCATTCAAATACATCCATGTTGCCCAAAAATGGTCAATGTAGGAATGTTTGAAAGCACCCATGATGTAACATTTTCATGTGCTTAATACCTCAAAATAATGTGTCTAAGATCCCCAAAAATATTGGCTAAGGACAAGCAATGTGCCCAAGATGCCCAAAAATGCAATTTGTAGTAACTGTCTAGGTTGGAGTCTTCAAACACATCATGCCCAAAAAAGCAGTAAAATGTGCCTGTGATGCCCATAAAAGGCCTGTAAGGTTATCTAAAGTTATCTTGGCAGGAACACTCTACCCAATGCCTGCTGTCTATGAATATTTTACATACTGTGCCAAAAACCGCTGCTTGCTGAAATGGAATAGGTTGGTATCTTCAAATATATCTATAATTCCCAAATATTTTCAATTTAGGAATGTTTGAAAGCACACGTGACGGAACATTTGCATGTGCCAAATGCCTAAAAATGCATTTAGGAACATTTGAATGTGCCCACGATGTCCAAAAACTGTGGGATCCTTCAAATGCATCTATAGTATAGTGCCCAAATGTAGAAATGTTTGCATATACCTGCAATGCAAAAAAACTAAATCCAGGTAGAAATGTTCAAAATGTGCAGCTGCCCAAAAATATTCTTTGTAGAAACAGTCTAGGTAGGATCCTTCAAATCTATTATGTTCAAAAATGTTTTACATATGAATATTAAAACACACCCATGATGCAGTTTGAATGCAGTTACGATGCAGTCACAAACTCAGTCTTTAAAAATGTTGAATGTACCTATGATATTAGTGTAATTTGATCCCAAAAATGGTCTAGGTAGGCATATTTGAATGTATCTACAATATGATGGCCAAAAATGAAGCCTATGCAGGAAAATTCACACACATTAATAATGCTACAAAAGTAGAAATATTTGAATGCACCCATACAGGAAAGTTGCAATGTGCCTGTGACGTCCAAAAAAAATGTCTAGACAAGCAGCTCACTAGGTTTTGAAACGCAACCAGAGAGAGAGAGGAAGTTGGCGAAGTTGGCTGAAGACGTCAATACTGCTGCGACATCCTGCACAGACAGCATGAGTTAATAGGAGGAAGTGGGCGTAAGAGTGAGCGAATGAGGGATGGAGCAGACCTTGAGTGAGTGAATGAATGAGAGTAAGATTGAGTTTGAGTGTGTGTGGGTGAAGCTGTGTGGCTGCGAGATCAGTTCCATTGGTGACAGTCTGTGTTATTTCCCCCTGCATTCGGCGCACCCTAACCAATTATCCTATTTACATGCAAAACGACACCACGTGCTTCTTTAGAGCCACCCGCAGGGGCAAGACGAGAGCGGAGAGGAAAAATGAAGGGATGAGACAGTGGGGGCCAACAAAAGGGTGGGAGAAAAGAAGGGGGACAGGAAAGAATGAGTGCGAGAGAGAGTGAAGAGTATGAGATAGAATTAGAGTGGGGACAGTAATGTCGACATGATGAGAGAGGAGAGTTATTATGAAAGAATGCAAGGACTGAGAAATGCACGGGCATGAAAGAGTGGCAGGGCATGAAAAAGAGGCGAAAAAATGACAGAAATATGAGTAGGGGGATTTGAGAGACTAAAAGAAACAAAAACAATTTGAAA